TAAGCACCTGAGAGAGAGTGGGCACCTCCCAGAACACTGTTTTGTGCCACTCCCAACAGAAATACTCCAGGTGGACAACTTCAGCAATCAGGAGCTCCTCAGTTGCTCATAGAAAATCCCACCTTGGAGTTTACAAAGACTTATGGGTAGAAAAGCCACACTAAATAATTTACTACACCACAGGTACAACACTTGTACACTGGAAACTACAAAATACTGTAGAAAGAAATTAAGGAACTAAATACATGGAATGACATCCTGTGTTCAAGGTTTGGAAGACTGAATATTGTTAAGATGGCAGTACTATACAAAGAGGTCTACAGTTTCCAGGCAAGCCCTATCAAAAGCCCAATGGCAGAACACAATAGCTCATCAAAAAAATTCATATGGAATTACAAGGGACCCAAAATAGCCAAAACCGAAAAAGAACAAAAAAGGAGGACCCACACATTCTTATTCCAAAACATCCTACAAAGCAACAGTAATCAAAACAGTCTGGTACTGGCATAAGGCTAGACATATAGACCAATGAAACAGAATCGAGAACCCAGAAATAAACTCTCACGTTGATGGTGGGTGAAATGAGTTCCCTTATGTGGTCTTTTGCCTCAGTTCTTTGGAAAAACAGCTTGGAAGATCCCCACCCCCAACCCCCCAGGAATTATCTTTGCCCTACTTCTTTGGTGAAGCGCCTTGTGGGGAATGGACTCCCAGGTTGTTTTCTGACCCCAAAGAGTTTGTTACTTTTGCCCAGGAGATTTCCAGGGTTGACTTAAGCTTCCTGGGTAAAGCTGTAAATAACTTGATGGCTTGATGCTTTTCCTGGTCATTAACAACAGCTGAGTGGACTGGCATCTCACGGGTAGCTGAGGACTGCTTTTCCAACTCCGGTTTGGTGAAGGACGCTCTCCCTGTAGTTGGTGAGGACTGGGACATATAAATGGCTGAAATGCAGAGGCCTCCTGGTTGAGAGAGAGAGATGCTAAGAGTAGGGCTGGATGAGAAGCAGAGTTGCATGGGAGCTCAATGGTCCTGAAACTGGCACGCTGGCTGTGAGCTGGACCAGTCAGCAGTAGAGTGGCCATGGCAGAGGCCAACAGCAGATAGCGTGATGTCTGAGTGCCTGATGGCAGAGAAGTCTGATGGAGGTCTGAGAGAGCTGTTACACTGGCAATGAGCTGGGCCAGTTAGCGGCAGAAAGGCCAAAGGCAGAAAGGCCAACAGTGGGGAGCCCAACTGCAGGGAACACGACGACAGAGAGGCCAGTGGTGCAGAGGCCTGCACACAGCTACGCAGCAGAGAAGCCACGCCCACTGGAGTCCTGTGTGTTTCCTGAGCTGACCACAAGTTATTCCTAGTCCTTCCCAGTTGATCTTGACACTGAGTTGTGTAGCCTGTTACCTCCCTAATAAACCACATAACTCTGAGCATGGTCTTTGAGTTCTGTGTGACCGCTGCAATGAATTACTGAGAAGTTGAGTGTGCTGTGGGGGAAATGGCTGGTCTCAGAAACGGTGAAGAAGTTGGAATAGAGTGGAGGTATGTCTGACCTTCACCTCATAGGAACCAGCTTTGTGCTGGTCCTGATTCTCATCCCCCATGAATTTAGACGACTTTTTACACTGCATTACAACAGTCAATTGATTTTCTACAAGAATGCCACTCAATGGGGAAATATCAGTCTTTTCATCAATGGTGCTGCGATAACTGGATATCCACATGGAAAATAAGAGTAATTAGACCCCTACCTCACACTGTATGTAAAAATTAACACAGAATGGATTACAGACCTAAATGTAAGAGCTAGAACTACAAACTCTTAAAAGAAAACCTAGGACCTTGAATTTGACGATGGATTCTTAGATATGATATCCAAAGCACAAGTAAC